CCCGCCTCACCTTGAATAAGACTACATCTCCAGGTTTTAGATTTACATATATTTAGAAGCCAACATCAACCCAATACACATCGATATGGAGAGTTAAAGTGAAAATCCAGGAAACTTCTAAAACTAAATTGATATTCTCAAAGTGAAAGCTACCATGGGATGGAATGAGGTTATCAGAGGACAGTGAGTGTTGGGATAATAGAGGAAGAGATTTGTGGTCTTAAAATGCCATGGACATCAACAAAATAAAAATAAGAAAAATGTAAAATAAATACTAAGATTACCCTGCTTCCACCATCTCAGCTGCTGCTGGATTTTTGCATGGCAAAGTCAAATCAGAGTACAGAGGAAAGTTTTTAAAGAAATCTGAAGGAATGGGAAGATTAAAGAAAATATATTACAGAGAACGAAGAGTCATCTCTGGTTATATAATACACCTAATTAACCATCATCATATTCCTGAGGCAATCTTTTACCTCACTAGTTCACAGTGAGAGGAAACAGGAATGTTCAAATTAGATTGTTACAATGGTGATAATTTGTGTTTTGATTACAAAGAAGCCCCTTACTTAATCCTATGAAACTAAGGCCCTTTAAATAATGTGAGGTTACTGTGATGATATTCATCATCATTATTTAGAAACATAGACATAAAATTAGATGTTTCTCTGTTGTAGCTACATTTACAAACTCATAAGAATGTCCTTTTCTGTAATTTCAAGTCTTTGCGTCATTGTAATAACTTACTTACTAGTTTTCTCAGTGCCATCATGATGTCTTTGTTCCTCAGAGTATATATAATGGGATTCAGTGTTGGGATGAAAACGGTGTAGAAAAGAGAGATCACTTTCCCAGTCCCTTCAGATTGATTTGGTTTTGGTTGTAAATACGTGATAGTAGCTGTTCCATAGAATAAGATCACAACTATCAGGTGAGAAGAACAGGTGGAGAAGGCTTTCTTCCTCCCGCTGGCTGATGATATTTTGAGAATGTTGGCAATAATTTTTCCATAGGAGACAATGATCAATAGAAATGGAACCATGACAAACACCAGTGAAGCTAGATAGATTGCAATTTCATTCAGAAATGTGTCCCCACAAGCAAGCTTGAGAACTGGGGGGATGTCACAGAAGAAATGATTAATCCTGTTAGACCCACAAAAGGGCAGAGAAAAAATCTGACATGTTTGCCCAATTACAACTGGAACTCCACTGACCCAGGAGGCAATGGCCAGCTGGACACAGATTTTGTAGTTCATGACCAGCGGGTAGTGCAGAGGGTTACAAATAGCCACGTAGCGGTCATAGGCCATCGCTGTCAAGAGGAGACACTCTGAGCCTCCAAACATAAGAACAAAGCACATTTGTGTGGCACAAGCAACCAAAGAAATGTTTCCTTTCTGGGTCAAAAGATCCATGAGCATTCTTGGGATAGTGACTGTTACATAACAGATTTCTAAAAAGGAAAAATTGTTAAGAAAAAAATACATGGGTGTCTGGAGGACGGGGTCAATTCTTGTTATCATAATTATGATGCTATTGCACATCAGGATAGTCAGATAGATGACCAAAAATATCCCGAAAAGAATCCATTGGCTATTGGGAATATCAGAAAACCCCAAAAGAACAAACTCCGTTATTGAAGTCATATTTGATTTTTCTGTTTTTAGTTTGTTCTTCATCTGCAAATATGGTAATTTCAAATTGGTTATTCATTTATATTCTTGAACCACATTTTCCTCTTCTGACAACTGCATTAGGTACATGAATGTATTTCTATAATTTCTAAATTCATATTCACTATCACTGTGCTCTGTTTCTAGAAAATGAATTTTGAAACCTTATAAAGGAAGTGATATACATTTGAAATCAGTACAATCAATAAAAGCTGACATATGTTTTTTATACATTGAGGTAATGATACCAGAGAAAATGAGAAATGTGTATTCTTACTTAGATCTTATTTTGCAGAAGTAATTTCTAATTATTTCACCGCCATAAAGAGTGAAATTACGGTACAGGGTTTTGCTACTGCATTTGTCTGGATTCATCAGTTTTGTTTGTTTGTTTGTTTGTTTGTTCATTTTTTTACTGAATTGATTGATTTATTACACCTTCTTTCAATTTAAACTGTTTCCCTTAAAGGTTTTGTTTAATTTTTATTAAAATGTGTTTTAAGTCCCTACATTTATAGTCTAATGAGAATCAATTTTCTAAGACCAATTTTCTTAGACAAAATCTTTGTAACATAAACTTTCATTTATGTTAAATATGGAAACCATTAATCCCAGCATACTGTTCAATAATTTTCCCTATTAACATCCCCATACAGTGTATGATAAGCATCAATTAATTTTAACTCTGCCAATAAATATGACTCTTTTACCCTAATATTTTTTTACATATCCCTCCATTCCTAAGTAAGATTCTAATGTCATATGGTTCCTTTGAACCAAATACAAATTCTTTTTTCTATTTTCTTTGTCATTTTTCCTAATAACATGTAACTTTGATTAAATCCAATTATTATTTAACCTGGTATGTGAATAACTGGAGCCTATGAATTAAACTTACACACACATACACACACACGCACGCACACACACACACACACACACGTACACTGATCTTGAAAGTTCACTTCATAGTAATGCCATTCAATATCAGGCAGTGTATACTGTTTGACAATTTCCACTATACTTTATTAATATTTGTTCTCTAACTTTCCAAAACAAATATACAACAAAGATTATGTTTTTTATCTCATCACTCTGCTACACACGTCTCTACCTGTTAACACCAACATTTGATATTTTTTCATTAATACTTTGATAAATAAAGCTGCAGACAAGTAGTCTCTTACATTTCCCTATTTTCACTAGTACTGGTTCTCAGAATTACCTTAAATGAATAATGGTGATTATTAATGTCTTTACTATTATCATTTGACCCACGTTTAATTTTTATTGCTTTATCATTAAGAAAGTAAGGATCTTTGTGAGTTACCATAAGTAGTTAACTCATTTTCAAAGATTTTAGAATTGCCTGTTTTCCTGTTTTATTTTTTGTATCTTGATCCTGCAATTAAGAACTTTCTTTAAATAAAATAGGTTAACAAAACAATTACAGCTTACTTCATAGATTTGCATGAAGATATCTGTGTGAGTGGAGGTGTTTATTAACCTGTAAACTTGTTAAGTTCTTCTGTCATGTTGAGGAGCCACTATAATTCTATGACATTTTTGCTGGCATCAAAAGTTGGCTGCTCTTAAATAGGAAGCAGCCACGCTCACCTGGGAGAATCTTTTCTCGTGTCAATTAAATTCCTGAACACTGCATTGTTTTGGTAATCATCTGGGTTTATTTTTTCCTTGTAGGTGGCTGCCCTTCTCTTCACCCCTTCTTGGCACAAAGCTCACCTCAATGGGATGTCCCTTGGTGAAGAAACACCACCTAATTGTCAAGTAGTACTTTCAGGAGAAAGTTAAAAATCATTCTACAAATTGTATTTCAGACTTAATAATTAGAGTGTATTTGACTTCCTTACTTTTATTCCCATAACGGATCTAAATCTAGATCTTCCACACCATTAGAAAAATGTGTCACATGTTGTATCACATGAATGTGGCATGCTTGGTCTCTTCAACACATTGTGTGTTGAGAGCCCTTTTCAGAAGTGGAATTCTCTCGATAGATTAACTTTTGTGGAAATTAAAGCATGTCGTGTCTGCTGATGGAAACAAAACTGGATGGCTTTATTTTCTATGAATCTCCTCAGGCATCAGGGAGGTTTCTAATTGATTCAAAAATGTAAGCTACTGCAAAAACAAACATTTTAACTAAGAATATTTAAGACAGAAAACAAACAAACTTTATGCTAAAGTACTTATTCCATTTCAGCTACGTTGAAGCAGGTATGGAGGTAACATTATCACACACCATAATTCTACTAGTAATTATATTTGTTTTTTCCTGTTTTAATGTTTTTTGAGTATTCGACGTGTTTTTGTTTTTGTTTTTGTTTTTATTTTAGGCCTCCTTCTCTTTACTACAGCTTTTTTTCTTACATTTGCCCTCTGTGCTCTTTATTATTACTGATATGGGGTTTGTGTGGGGTTTCCATCATGCTTATCTGCAAATAAGAACTGCTCATATGATTTGCCTCCAAGAATTGTGTCAATTCCTTACAGACTGGGACAAATTGAATGTCCATCCCACATTAAGACTGAAAATTTGGATATTTTCTTATTTAATTTAATAACACCACCACTAAAAAAAAATTATTATTTTATTATTAAATATTATTAAAAATTAAAGCAGTTTTTCAGGTTTATCAGCGGCTTAAGCGTCTTACACCCATTTCAAAAAACAATTTTCGGTCAGCATTCAGAAAGCTGTGAATTACAGACAGATGCAAAATAAGGAAAGAAGTGCGCTCTTAAGAGTCTGAGCACAGAAGAGACACATTGCATCTGTAGACTCACACGCCACTGTATGAACTAATCACATGGCCTAATGAAGATGTGAGAGGGCTAGAGAATGTTGTTCACTGTGTGTCAAAGACACAGAAACCTATTTGGAGAGCATCAAGCCAGACTCTGACACTGTCCTCAGTTTTGGTCACTAACAGTGTGCTACAGCGTGCTGTAACATATGTACATTTATATTTAAGTTTTAACAGGTCACTTAATAACAGAATATTTGTGTGTGGTACATAGTTATGTATTTTATTTGGCCTTTTAGACATTGTTTGTAATACAATGTCATTATAATTTTTATTTTTAAATTAACAATGTGACTGAAGCATAATTTACAGAAAATAGAGTACAAACACTCAACTAGATTTAATGAGATTTCAAATGCAACAAGATTTAAAAAATATATACACTCCTGAAACCATCGCCACAAAGAAGATACCAAACATTCACAATATCCCTAACATTTCCTCACATAGCTTCGTAATCCATCCTTACTTGACCCCAACCACAGGGAACAGATCAGATAACTGTAGCTATTATTAATCATTTACAATCTGTCAGAATGTGTTCCTTTATCCAGACGTCTTTGCTCACAGTTAGGATTTTAAGTTTTACCTAGGTTCTACTATGTTTGTTATTTATTTTCAGTGTAGTCTTGAACTTCAAGCTTTATTTTGTTCATTTATTTATTTCTTATAGAATTTGGATTGTTTCTCAATTTTTGGCTACCAGAAATAGAGCTACTATGTATATTGAACAAATTTTTGAATGGAGCATCTATTGTAATTTCTTTTGAGTTAATATTTAGAAATAAAACGGTTAGATCATGTTGTAGGTGTTATGTTTAGCCCTTTTGGAAACTGTCCATGTGTTTTTCAAAGTGGTTATACTATTTTACACTTTCACCAGCTACATATTTGCATAACAACAGCTTGATGCCTTTGTCAACACTTGGCACACTTAGAATTCTCAATTTTTCCATCCTCATGAATGAGTTGCGAAATTATGGCTTCGATGTGTATTTGTCTAATGACTAAAGACAAGACGTGTATGTTTTTACATACTTAATAGGGGAGAATGACCAAAATTAATGTAGGAAGACTGTGATGAGCAAGAAACAAATTTTATTGAGTTATGTTTTATAGTCATGAACAATCCATTTCAGTAGGAATTTTTTCAGTGCAACCATAACATCTTTGTTTCCCAGATAATATATTATGGTGTTAAACATTAGTGTCACGGTGGTGTTAAAAAGAGAAAGAAATTTGTCCATTCCTATGAAATGATTGGACTTTGGTCTCAAATATGTAATGATGCCTGATCCAAAGAATAAAGCCACAACCATGAGATGGAAGAACAAGGGGGGAACGCCTTGGCTCACCCAATTGCTGATGGCAGATTCAGGATGGGAATACCAGAGAATCTCTTAAGGAAGCAACATCTACTCTGAGATTTTGTCAGATCTTACAGTCAAATCACAGAATCCTTTTGTTAGTTTTACTTTTAAGCAAAGAAAATAAAACATTTCCCAGAAGAAATAAAATGCCCTCATATCCTTATTCAGTTTTGTATTTCAATAGCTACTTGAGTGCTTAAACAGGTAAGTGGTTTATAAATGTTTCCATCAGGAAAATTTAAATAGATTTTAGTCTCACTGTCCCAAGAACTTGACATCGAGTGACTTCAACTGGAAATTAGTTCTATTCTGATAATATATGCTTATTTCAATCATAAGAATTTAATTTTGCTTTTTTGAAAATATACACAGTAATAATAATATGTAACTCAGGGAATTGTTTTTAGGAGTAAGTTAAGTGCTTGATTTATAATAGGCAGTTGCAGTTCTATTAGACATTGTTATTATGTTTGTTATCGTTCTTATTATCCTACTTATTTTTTTATCATTATTTTTTTAACATATCTTTTTTTTTCTTTCTTTTGAACTTTATTCATCCTTTATTCTGCCCTAGAGCTAGCTTTTTCTGTCTAGGAGAGAAGACAATGTACAGGAAAGTGTTTTGTCAAGAGTACTGAGCTTAAAACTAGTACTTTATTCTGTGTTGTATAGATACAAATCTGCAGCAATACCTGGAGAAAAACACTCTAACTTACTGCGCTTTTATTTTTAGTTTTTTTTTTCTCTCATCTGTTCCAGTCTCCTGAACTTTGAGGACATAGGAAAAGTAGACATTGTTATGGACATATAAACAAAACTAAATTGAAAAATTTAACGTAAGTCTTATTTAATATATGAAAGTATCCCTAAGATAACCGCATTAGATATTTTTTCAGAAATCGATGTACTTTCTAACTACTAATGGTATTTTTCAGTTGTTACATGGGAATTCAAGTTCTTTAGCTATTTTATCTGTTTATCATAAACTAACATAACTATGGGTAGTAGAGAGGCCTGATTAATTAAAACTATTTTTTTATATTTGACAATTTTTGAACATTTATTATATACTAACCCCCTGTTAACAATTTTATCTGACTATTGCTTTTATCATTCTGAATAAAGTAAGTACTATTATTATTCACATTTTGCATAGAGCTGGAGGAAGAGAGAAGTTAAATTATTGCCCAACATCAAGAAGGTCGTATAACCTCACTGACTTCAACCTTGCCAGTGCAATGCCAGCATCCATATTCTTCATCAGAATTCAACGGGCTTCATGGAACATTCAATAGTAAATATTATTTTTAATTTAATATTCCGAATGGTATCAGTAAAATTAAGAAATATAAAACCACAACAGCAAGGTGATTTTATGTCCATTTAATCTCTCATTCACTGTTATAAAAATGCAAAACTGATTATTTATGGGTAAAGTCTGAAGATTTATCTCATAAATCAATTTGATTGGAAGAAAGAATTTTCTTTGATGACAATTCTTAAGTTGAAAAGTAACGCACTATTGTAAAATAAGCGGCATAAAATCATTACTGCTTCCCTATTTATATTGTGGAGAAACCACTGAGAATTGCTTCTTTTACAAAGACAATGTTTTATGTAATAGAAAACTTTAATTTAAATTATTCAAGATTCAAATTCTGCCATTCCTGTTTTTCCTGAAGCTCATATTTCACTCTTAAATCAGTGTACCTTCAGTGAAAATAGCTCCTTATTGATTGGGAAAGCATCTTTTCTTCAAGATGTGTTGCATCTTTAATTCAAGTTATTTATCAAGTGGTAATTGAAAAATGACCCAAGGCCATGTCTGGTTGGATTAGCACAGCATTGAAGATGGTCTCTGTAGGATACAGTTTGAGGAGCCATATTCTCCTGGTTACTCCTCTCCACCTTTCTCTCCATTCTCTCCTCATTTGGAGAGCAGAAGCAATTCCCCTTCGGAAAAGACCGTACTAAGACATTCACAGTCTTCGAGTTGGTCTGTAGCTACACATGAAATTTGAGGATACTAAATTTGCAATTGTTAAACACCATTTCTTAACCTCAAATAATGTAACCTGGAAAATTTCTAGAATTCATGCATCATCTACATTATTTATTTGTTAAGATTGTCTGTTCCTGCCATGATTGAGTTATTATTATTATTTTTTTTTTTAGTTACAGATATTTACATAAGGAAAAAAATGTGTCTGGAAAGGGGATATAGTACACTAAGTCTCAAGGTTTCTCTATCAGAAAGTGAGGGTGGGAAAATGACATTAGAAGGCTTTAACATGATAGGAGAGAAAAGATAGTGATGCAATTCTATAATACATCATC